TCCAGTGCATATTTTAATTGCCTGTCACCACTAAGCAACTGGATGTGGCAGGACTGCAATGATTCACTGGGTGTGAAATTGCTAATCCTGTCTATGTCTTGCTGCTTATGCTGTTCAGCACAAGTGCACTTTTAAATTGTAGCTTCAGCTCATTAAGAACTCAATTTTTGCCTGGTACTGCTTCTGGCATCTCCCTATGCACTCTTCATTGTACCAGGTTTGATTGGTAGACTTGATGGTAACGATAGAGTGGGGAATATTCTGGCACATGAGATTGCCGATTGTGTTTAAATACAATTCTGTGGCTGTGTGATGGTCCACCCAGTTGAGTTGCTAGATCTGTTCTATCCTATTTAGCACAGTGATGATATCACACAACATGGTGGAGGGTATTCTCAACACAGATGTGGGACTTCATTACCACAACAATCATATTATAGTCCCTCCTACCAATACCATGTGGACAGATCTATCTGTGATAGACAGATCGGTGAGGATGAAGTCAAATATGTTTCTCCTTCTTAGTCAGTCCGTCACCACCTGCCGCAGACCCAGTCTCGTAGCTACATCTTTTAGGACTCGACCAGCTCAGTCAGTAATGGCCCTACCGACCTATTCTTTGCTATGGATACTGAGATCCTCCACTCAGACTATATTCTCTGCCTTTCCCACCCCCATTGCTTCTTCTGTGCTCAATATGGCAGAGTACTGGTTCATTAACTGATAAAGACTGTTGGGAGTAGGTGGTAATCAGCAGGAGTGTACCTTGTCTACATTTGACCTGATGCCATGAGACTTCATGGGGTCTAGAATTAATAAAGGGGCCTCCCAAGGAACTCTGTTAACTGTATACCACTGTGCCACCACCTCTGCTTGATCTTTCCTGTCAGTGGGACAGAACATATCCAGGAAAGGTAATGGGAGTAACTGGGATATTGTTTGTAAAGTGTGATCCCACGAATATATTAGGCACTGAGATAACAAGAAACTGTATTTCAAAGCAATTCATTTGGCAAATGGAATATCATAAGGAGTTATATAAATGCAAGCATTTTTTTGTCTGGAATGTTCTATGCTTTTTTTTAGAAATCTAACTTTAGTGTTAGTTAGATCTTGATATTATTACGCTGGTGTGAGCACTCATTGTGTTGTAACATTCATCTAAACCAGAGGACTACAGGGTGGCTAATGTTGTGCCTCCATTTAAGAAAGGCTGTAAGAAGAAGCCTGGGAACTATAGACCTATGAGCCTGACATCGGTGGTGGGTAAGTTGTTGTGGGTGATTCTGAATGATAGGATTTACAAGCATTTGGAGAGGCAAGGATTGATTAGGAATAGTCAGCATGGTTTTGTGTGAGCGAAATTGTATCTCAAAAACTTGATTGAGTTTTTTGAAGAAGTAACCAAGAAGATTGATGAGGGCAGAGTGGTAGACACTGTTTACATGGACTTTAGTAAAGCCTTTAACAAGGCTAAACATGGTAGACTAATTAGTAAAAATTCAGAGCTTTCCAATTGGTTGCAAACTTGGTTTAACGGTAGGAGACAGGTGGTAGCGAAGAGTTGTTTTTCAGACTGGAGGCCTATGATCAGTGGTGTTCCACAGGGATCGGTACTAGGTGTACTTTTGTTTGTCCTTTGTATAAACAAGCTGGATGAGAATGTAGGAGGCATTTGTCAGTAAGTTTGCAGATGCCACCAAAAATTGGTGGACAGTGAAGAAGGTTATCTCAGAGTACAAAGAGATTCTGATCATTTTGGTCAATGGGCTGAGGAGTGGCAGATGGAGTTTAATTTGGATAAATGTGTGGGATTGCATTTGGTAAAATAAACAAGGGCAGGGCTTAAACAATTAACGGTAGTGCCCTGGGTAGTGTTGTAAAATAGAGAAACCTATGGCTTCAGGCATATAATTCTTTGAAATTTGCATCACAGGTACACAGGGTGGTTAGGAAGGCATTTGGCACACTTGCCTTCCTAGCTCAGACCTTACAGTATAGGAGATAGGATGTCGTGTTCAGGTTAAACAGCACATGGTGAGGCCTCTTCTGGAGTACTGTGCGCAGTTCTGGTCACCCGAATACAGGAAGGATATTATTAAATTGGAGTGGGTTCAGAAAAGATTTACCAGGATGTTGCCAGGAATGGAGGTTTTGAGCTGTAAAAATAGGCTGGATATGCTGGGACATTTTTCCCTGGAGCATAGGAGGTTCAGGGGTGACCTTATAGGGGTTTATAAAATCAAAACAGGCATAGATAAGGTGAATAGCAAGAATCTTTTCCCTAGGGTGGGGGAGTTCAAAACTAGGGGGCATAGTTTTAGGTGAAAGGAGAAAGTTTGAAAAAGGACACAAGGGAGGGGCAACGTTTTTACAGAGAGTGGTTCGGGTATGGAATTAATTACCAGAGGAAAAGGTGGATGTAGATACAATTACAACATTTTAAGGTATTTGGATAAGTACATGAGTAGAAAAGGACTGGAGGCTAAACACGGGCAGGTGGGACTAGTCTAGTTTGGGAACACAGTCGGCGTGGACTATTTGGACCCAAGGGTCAGTTTCCATACTGTATGACTCGATGAAAAGTCTAAACAAGCACTAGTATTACATTTTGTAGCTTGGAGTTCTGTGAGTGCAACCGAAAAAAGTTACATACCAATCAAACTCATTTTGCTGATGTCAAGTTTCAGACAAGTATCCTCCCAGCTTCATCAGAAAAGGTTGCAACTCAGCAATTATGATTCTAACAAGAAGGATGGACCAAGAAAGGCACTGAATCCACAATATATATTTTGGTTATAAGTATCAAAGTTCTAGTTTCAATTTATTGATCCACATTCTTGCAGTGGCAGTTTCAGAATATCCAAAAATTATTTTTATTATGATGGATCTACATTTATAGTACATTTTATGTGTATTTACAACGCTCAAAATTTTGCAGTAAAACAAATCCTGCTACACCTCAAAATCTGGTTTCAAATTTCTGAGATCTTGAAACAAGTTCAACTGGGAATGCCAATTTCAGATTTAAGAGTGAGACAATTTTTATAAAAGGAGATCCAATAGGGGTAAAGAGTTTAATGGGTTGCTGTAAAAGATCAAGGAGACTTGGACATACAGCAATTATCTATGCAAGTAATTAACATCAAATTTTGTAATCTATTAAACCACTTAATTGGTTTCCATCCAGATTAAGTATATCTCTGGGCGCAAATACAAATTCCAAGTCTGAAGTCTTTAATAAAACATCCCAAGACTTTTTACAGAATCTCAAAATAATCACAGCACACAGGGAGGCCACTTGGCCCAATATGTATGCACCAGCTCTTCAATTGAGCAATTCATTTAATGCAATTCTCCTCTTTGTCTCTGTAACCGTCCACAATCGTCTTTTCCAGATAACAGGATAATTCCTTTCTGAATGTTTCAATTGAACCACCCTCCATTCTTCCCAACGTAGTGAATTCTAGACTAACCAAGGGCTGAAAAAAGATTTTCCATACGTCATGTGTTTATGTTTCAATCACTTTACATCTGTGCTATCTCATTCTCAATACTTAGGCATGTGAACAGTTTCTATCCACTTTGTCCACACTGGTGATGATTTTGAATACCTTCTAAAATCTCTTCTCAGCCTTCTCTTATCGAAGGAAAATAATCCTAACTCCTCCAACCCATCTTCATAAATGAAGTTCTTCATCCCTGGAACTATTCTTGTAAACCTCTTCTGCACTGTATCCACTTCCTTCACATCCCTCATAAAGTGCGGCAGCCAGAACTCAAAACAATACTCCAAATGAGGCTGCAGTAGTGTCCTGTGCAAGTTCAACAGGACTTCTTACTCTACTATTCTACTCATATATACTAGCACACTATACACTTCATTAATCACTCTCTTAACCTGCCGTGCCACCTTCAATTATCTTTGCACATTTACAGATAGAAGTCCCTCTGTTCCTGAACCCCTTTTAGAGTTGAAACTTTTAGAGTCTGTCTCTTCATCTTCTTCTTGGCAAAATGAATCATTTCACATTTCACTGCAATGAACTTCATGTTCCATTTGTCTGCCCATTCCACCAAACAATGTCTTTTTTAAAGTGTTATAAAACATAATACGACAGAAGCCACAGAAGGAAATATGAGGTGAAATGACCAAATACTTAATCAAAAACATAGGTTGTAGGGAATGGTTGAAGGGAAGAATGTGAGCTTGAGGGGCAGAGAGGTTTCGGGAGGGAATTCCTGAAGGCAAGGTCTAGACAATTCAAGTGCAGTAAACAATGGTGGAGCAATTAAAATTGGGGATGCTGGATGGACCAGAACTAGGGGGACGCAAATGTCTCACAAGGCTGACAAACTGGAAGAAGCTGCAGAGAATGGTGAAGACATGAGGTTTTTAAAAGAGGGATCAAATTTAGGTATTAAATATAACGGTGCTAATACATAAAGTAATCGAAAGTAAGGTTCTCTGGAATAGCAAGTTACCAAACACAGTGTCCCATCAATAAGGTTAGTCAGAGATGGTCTTAGCTACACACTTGGCATTTGTTGTGACTCCTTCAGAACCTGTAAACCATTAGTTTGTGGGAGCTGATGATGTTGTCACCCCAAGACTGACACTATTTTTTGCCACTCAAAAGTTCGGGATTTCAGGGCTCCCTGTCCTGGGCGGGATCTACACGTTGCTCAGCAGCGGGCGGGGTGGAAAAGAAACGGAAAGTAGCAAAACAGCCGCTGAGGACGGCCTTTACATACCCTGTGTACGTACATAGAAAGAAAGTCCCTAATAATTGCACGTACGAGACGAATGATGTTGCATAAGGTGCAAACTGGATGCTAAAGCGGATAACAACATCCCTGTGCCTCACTGGCCTTACCTGTGGATAGATGTCGATCCCCGCTGCCCGGACCCGATATCATAGCAGCACGATGTTAAACCTACTGTATCATTTCTCATCACCCTGCCTAAAAGCCCCATCGTTAACAACGCAGGTACTTACCAAATCCCAGAGTCGGTCTCCTTCATCACTGCTCGGAAATTCCATGATCTGCAGCTCAATGAAACAGGCTTGGTGTTACACAACGTTTCCACTTACAGGACCGTGACCTTCCTCAGAGATCGACAGCTCTAGCTGCCCAATGGGACTGCGGCGATGCAGTCAATGTAGGGCTGGTTTTCGTCTTTACTGCACCAATCAGAGGCAAATAGGGTGTTTTCTTAAATTAGACGTTATCTTAGCCCTGCCCCGGGAGTAATTCCGTACTGTACGTGGCCAGCTAAAGGTACTGTTCCTTATCACGGTATGATCCTTGTTTTTATGTCTTTATTGCAACCAAAATACCGCACCTCCTGATTTCATGGAATATAACTACCTGATGAGTGGAATCCAGAACGTAGAGATAGTAGGAACTGCAGATGCTGGTGAATCCGAGACAACAAGGTGCAGGGCCTCTCTGCTCCTATGATGCTGCTTGGCCTGCTGTGTTCATCCAGCCCTGCACCTTATTGTCTCGGAATCCAGAACGTAGACCGCTTTCAGCCTGGAAAACCCTCTCCATATTGAAGACCCTTCAAATCAGAACACAGGCATTTGTATTAGTTTCTCCTGTCTCAAATTGGGTGTATACTGTGCCAAATACCTCGACCTAGACAAGCTAATCTAATAGCAGCAGGCGAGAGCCTTCCACTCCTCTCCCACTTCATGTCCATCCTTTTGTTTTGCAGCACGGAAAGAGGCCCTTCAGCCTGTTGTTTCTGCTCCGGTCATCAAGCCCCTATCACCTCTTTTCCCATGTTCCAGCAATAGTCTTGGTAGATATTTGTAATCAACCTGTTCAGAGATGTTATTAATGGACTCACATCTCTGGGGTAGGTGAGATTTGAACTTGGGCTTCTGACCCACAGACAGTGGCACTTCTGCTGTGCCACCCCATGAAATAAGGGCCAACATTCCATTCGCCTTCCTAATTACCTGCTGCACCCGTATGCCAGCTTCCTGTGTTTCATGCAGTAGTACTCCCAAGCTCCTTTGTGTAGCAGTTTGCTGCTGTTTTTTCTATATTTAAATAGCGTTCGGTTCTGTAATTCTCCCTTTCAAAATGAAGTTCACATTTCCTCATACCCCTTTGACAACCCTTTGCCCACTTAGTTAAGCTATCGCTATCTCTCGCAAGCTGTTTCTAACCCTCTGCCTATTTTTGTATCTGCAAATTTGGCCATATTTCCTTCCTCCGGATCATAAATATATATTTGTAAACAGTTCGGGTCCTGGCACTGATCCCTGTAGAACCCCACTGGTCACAGGTTGCCAACCTGAAAATGAACACTTTATCCCCACCTACTGTTTCCTGCCCATCAGCCAATTTTCTGTCCCTGCCAATATACTCGATCCAACACCATGGACTCTTATGACATTTTTTTGAGGTGGCTTGTCGAACACCTTCTGGAGGTCCAAATACAACACATCTACTAGTTCCCCTCGATCCATCTAGTTAACACTTCCTTAAAATACTCTAATAAATTAGTCAGGCATGATGTTCCTTTTGTGAAGCCACGCTGACTCTGCTTGATTAGATTATGATTTTCCAAATGTTCTGCTACTAGTTCCTTAATAACTGATTCCAACATTATTCCAAGAATAGATATTAAGCTAATCTGCCTCAGTTACCCACTTTTTGCCTCCCTCCCTTTTTGAATAGGGTATAACACAGGCAGTTCTCCAATCCTTTGGTACGTCTCCAGAATCTACCGACTTTTGGAAAATTACAGACAATGCATCCGCTTTCTCTGTAGCTACCTCTTTTAGGATCCTAGGATGCAAGCGTTCAGGGCCAGGGGACATATCTGTTTTTAGCCCCATTAGTTTGTCTAATACTACTCTAGTGATGGTGATGGTACTTAATTCCACCCCCATATCCTTTAGCATTAATGGGATGTTCAAAGTATCTTCCATCGTAATGACTTATGGAAAATTAGAAGGCTCTCTTTTGTTGCTTCCAGAAAGTTTTACCTTAGCTTGTCTAGGTTCAGATATTTGGCACAGTATTAACTCAAATTGAGACAGGAGTAACTAATTATACAGCTGTCTCTGTCATTTGATTTGGAGGGTCTCAGACATGGAGGAGTTTCCAGGCTCAGAAGATTCTACCTTCTGGATTCCACTCTTCAGATAATGATATTCCACCAAAACAGGAGGTGCTGTGAAACCAGGACAAACAGGTTTCAATAAAGACATAAAAATGATGACTATGTCGTGATCAGCAACAATAATCACTCAGCCACATATAGGTCAGAATTACTCATGCGGCACAGATAAGATAACATACAATTAAAGAAAACTCCCTATCTGCCTTTGGTGCAGTAAAGACAAAAGCCAGCCTACATTTATTGCAGCAATGCGATCCATCATAATCTCCCCGTTCTTGGATCCAATGTCTTGAAGAATAAAGGCAAGTATCCCATATGCCACGTTAACCACTTTATCCACCTGTCCTGTTATCTCTATGGATCTGTGTACAGGCACACCAATGTCCCTCTGATCCTCTGTACTTTTTCACATTCTACTAGCTATGGTCCTACCAATACTGCATGAGTTGAACCAGTTAAAATCGTATAGATTATGTATATACCGATATGGATTGTGTTTTTGTCCAACAGAAATAGATATTTGCACTCAAAAGCTAATGGAAGAATCATCCCCAAATGTATTCCTTCAGATTTTCATCATTGAGCCAGACTGACTACAGAATCATCAACAATCATCACCAATGCGTCAGATATTGGATCAACTCCATTCTAACATCCCATTATCAGATATTGCCCGAGAGCCAACACAGTTCTAATAGTCACAGGCCAAAACAAATATACAGAAAATGAAACTGATTTGTGTTGAATAAGGGGAAGTAAGATGGAGGCTGTTAGAGTTGACTTAACTGTGCAGCAGATCTGCTCTTTTTTATTGATAGATGGAATAATCAGGAATCAATAGAACTTGTAGATCTGATATTTTCAGGAAGTAAGGTGGAGGTGTTGGCAAAAGTGTAATGTTTGTGATGTTTGGGAAAAAGGCCGTGCCACCACAGTTTCCAAGGTTTAATTCAGGAAATCACTGCTTGTCCCAAGGTAAAAGATAAGGTTTTAACAGTGCATGTCTGAAAACATCAATATATAAATAGCCATGTGAACACAATGGCAACTGATTGCCTCTATTTTCAAAACCAGGATAAGCATAAATAACCGTGCTGACAAGGCATTATGCATCTATGATGTACACCTACAATTTGTTTCATCAAGATTCCTGGCTACCAGAACCTACTTGGCTTTGCCAGGTTTCATGGTTCCACCTATTTGTACCTACTGCCAAACTCCCACCAACAACACCCACCACTGTCTCATCGGAGCTCTTCATACATTCACTGAGTTTACCATCATTATGCTTCCATTTGTCTCACAGAAATATGATTAAATACTAAAGTATTGGTGAAAACTACATATTTTGTCAAAAATTTCCATTTTGTACTCATCAGGACATTTCATGAGAATACAAACTCAAGGGGAAAATCAATACTTATTCTGCATTTCTACCGGCACTATTCTCTGACTGATAGGGACATCACCATAGAGAATGATAATTGACAGTGAATAGCCAGTCTTTGTTCAAATTTTAAACCAGGCAGGCTGAAGATTGTTTAGGGCAATGCCCTGATAAATGAACCAGCAAATGGTTGTCACTTATTTTGTTTGGTTGAGCCAGGCACAGTGCATGTGAATGTTCTTTTTGTCTGTAAAGAAGATGGCCCTGTGCATTAATATATGTAGCTTCCAGTATCCACAAGTGTGCTATACTGCAAGGGTGATATACAATTCTAAATCATATCAGGTTCAAAACTTTACTCTGTTTCTGTCTCCAAACATGCAATTAGACTTGCTGCATCTCTTCAACACTTTTTTTTATTTCAGATATCCAGCATCTGTAGTATTTTGCATTTATTTGAGAGTGAAATTGCTTATCCAGAGTACATTCTATGACCTGATACCTACAATCATTTTTCCAAGTGGCGATCAAAATGGAGGAGAGGTGATTTATGAGTTGAAAATGGGTTGTAGGTTGTAAGACAGCAGAAAGTTTCCATGCCCATATTTTATCTGATGCTTTAAGGCTTTATGGGTTCTCCAGTCAATGTGAACGACTACCAGGGCCATTCCTACCTGACTATATATCGCTGTGCGGCCCTCTCTGGTGGATCTCTCATGTTGGTGATCAGGACATACTCAGATACCGTTATACCCGTACAACTTGATTTGATAAATATAATTATGTCAAGCTATTGCTTAACAAGTCTGCGGGACAGCTGACTGAATTTTTCCACATCCTCAGATGTTAGTGAGGTGTCAATGGAAAAAAGTTTTCACCATGCTTTTGTTGATAGTAGGTTGACAGGCTGATTTATTCTTATTCAGCTTCTCTGTAGCAGGTTGATAACAACTGGGTAGCTTGCTTGGCCATTTCATTGGGTGGTTAAGAGTCAATCACATTGCTGTGGCTTAGGAGTCAAGGTCTGGATAGATAAAGGGAACGTAAGAGATATACTGTCATGCAAATTCATTTTGAGAAGCTGTTCCTAAATTTTGCTAAAGTGTCTCACAAAGTCAACATTGCAAAATTCAAGCTTCAGGTAAAAAGAAAGGAAGTGTAGCTGTACAAATAGAAAGTTGGTTAAGACCAAGAAACAGAGTTTAGGATAGTACATGTTACTGAAATGTGGGAAGAATTAGGAGTGTTGCATCCCAGGAATTAGTCTGATACCACTTTGTGGATGATGTGGACAGGGTATAGAATACACAATATAGGGATTCATGCTTATGATTTGGCGTTTTTTATTTGTTCACAGGATATATGCATCACTGGCTTGAACAGCATTTCTTGCCCATCCTTAAATGTGCAAAGGGCAATTAAGATTCAACAACATTGCCATGGTTCTAGAGTCACATGTAGGCCAGATCAGGTAAGAGTGGCAGATTTCCTTCCCTAAAGAACATTAATGAACCAGATGGGTTTTTACAGCAACCAACATCGTTGCCATTAAGCCAGCTCCAAACATTTAGGCCTGAATTGGGCTGACAAGTG